CTGATAATTTATCCTCTGATAGCTCACCAGTGGACCCCGCAATCCGAATTCACCGTAATAGCAGTCGCATTGACTCTTATCACGCTTTCCAATTTCATATGGAAGGACTCCTCACGATTACCCGACTTCCTAGCCCTGTTCAGTTTCGGCGTACATGTCCTCGCGAAGTATCCTTACGAGACGGATATGGTTGTTGCGCAAGGTTGGAGATTCTTGGACGTCAGAGTACCAACATTCGCGTCTTACGTTGTCGGCAACGGCATAGAGTTCTGTCTCAACTTCCGTGCCGTGTTTTATCTTCTGATACCAGCGGTGTTCGCGAAAATGGCTGCGAGAGACGGTTGGCGCGGCACGTATCGAACTCTGATACCCCACTGCGTTACTCTGAGCTGGTGGCAAATAGCAATTTTCAGTTCTCAAGGCGCCACATGGTACGGCTTGATCAGAGGTGCCCTCGCATTAGTCGGCATGGTCCTCTTTCTTCCAATAGCCGGTATAGCTTCCGTCATTTTACCGATCATAGCCATTGCAAAATATTTGTCGGAAAATGACCTGGCAATGAGAATAGCAGTCACCACTGTACTCGGAGGAATGCCAATTTTGGCTTCATGGTATCTGAGGAGGATCAGAGCATCAAGACTTAATTGGATCATTACGCTCGTTCAAGTATGTATATCGTTGTATTCCTTAACTATCTTAAATTCAGAAATGTTCAAATATTTATATCTTGTACTAAATATCTTCTATAGATCATGCTTGGCGTTGGCGCTGCCACATTCTTATCGTGGCCGATGATAATGGAATATAAACAGGATTCCGACGAAATATCGTATGAAATGGTTTCTAGTTTAACATGGGATCAGTATCGGAACTACTGTCATCAACCTGCATGGGAAGAAGTATCATCGAAAGCGCAAGTGCAGGTGCAGTGCGCCCAATTAGAAGGCATACCCGTTTCGTGGGAAGGTTACGTGACGAATGTTAGATTAAAATCGATAAAAAACAATATCGCAATCATATTAAACAGATTACCTGATAACATTAGATCGATACTCAGTTGTATGTACGGGGAACCGTATGAGGAAAATTGTAATTCGGGCGACGACACTCGTAAAAAGAGTTGCATGCACGTCACGAGCATTCAGAAGCAAAGGAGTAAGTGTCACTTACCGGCTTGGGATCGATACGAATTTGAGATCTCCGTCAAGATGAAAAACGGCGCGTGGGGAAGTACAACGGAGATACGTCTTGTCGCGGATCATTCTTTTACCAACTTTAGTTTAAACATATATCCCGGCGACAAGATTTGGTTTTCCGGTGTGCTTCTGAATAATGGCTTAGAAAAAGAATCTCTTCTCGGTGGCACCGAACCGCACATTGATCTGGAAGAGGTAGGATGTCTCGCGTGCAACTTCCTTAATCTGAAAACATCTTACAAACGTTATAGATATCGTATAAGTTTAAGCTCTATTATCAGAGATCTTTGTCTCAGTATAAAGACTGTATTGAACTTTCTGTTAAATCCGATTGTGATGTTCAAGTGATCACATTTTACGTGATTCAATTCTTTTAGATCTTTCAACTTCTTATATTTAAATGTTTGTACTATTTCAATATATGTAATTATCATTATTGTTTGTTTAATACTATTTATCTTAAAAACGAATTATTTTACTGAAACTAAATTGTGAAAGTAAAAATTTTCAAATTGGAAACAAGGAATCAATTTATACATATATAATTAATTTACTAAAAAAAAAAATACACCTTTATAGAGTATAAATATGCAGTGAATATTGTAATATAACAATTGTCTTGAGAAGACCTCTTTCAGTATATTAAAAATTTAACATGATGATTATTTTATTGTAACAGATTATCGTTTACAAAAGCGTGTAAATGTTATAAAATATACTATACTGCAAAATATATAGCGTATTATATCTGACACGTTATATATATGTATATAGTATAAACTAAATTGAAAGAAGAACTATGTTAGGTATACAAGCAGCATTTCTTCAATGTGTCATCACTGTGTGTGTGATATGAAAGTAGAGAGTAGTGAAAATGTTTTGATGTTACCGAACGCCTCAGGCAATATACATTAGGCTTTCATGAGCAAATCGTAGTCTGCTTTAGAATATTAACATATATTTTAAGATCGATATATTTTCCTAAGCATTACTGCCAATAAGAGAGAGAGATTAACGTTTGATATTTTTGTATTCCGTTTTCGGGCAATGATTAGGACAGATATCATTTTAATCTTGTTTTAATGATGTATGTAACAAAAATTGCATTTTTTACTAGGTTTATAACATACATTATCACGATAAAGTTTTAGTTGATACGATGAACCGGGAGGCAGTATGCAAATTAATATAATAATCTTAGATTATATTTAATAATCTATGGTTATAAAAAAAAAAAGAAAAAGAAAAAAATATGATATTCATATAGAATTTTGTGTAGTATTGACTAAGCTATCTAATTGAACTATTTTAAAATTCAATATTACCTGAATGATACAGCTTTTAAAGAATATTGAAAATATATGTACAATACAAACAACAATTTAATTTATATATTGATGTTAAGTGTTTAGATAATTATTAACAAGCATATCTGTCTGTAGAGTTAAGGACAGTTTCGTCATTGTATCACATAAAGACAATAGGAACCAGGATCGTAGAAAAGAGATGACAGATATAGATGTGCCTTGGTGTTTTCTGTTTGAATAATTTTATCGTTGATAATAAAAGGACTCTATTTGCCTCTTCGAAGCAAACAAATTAATTAAATGCATTGAAACACCATGAACTCTTCTTGCATTCTAATGTGCAAATGTATATTTTTGTCATAAACAATATATTAAGAAATATAATGCAAAATACAAAATATTGTCTTACTCCAACATAGCAATAAGTTCTAATACCTCATACATGCGCGCGCGCGTACATCCAAACAACCCACCTACCCCCACTCACACCTTCACCATTACTCATTATGAAAAAGCAGAGACTTATCATTTATAATTATAGACATATTTATTTTATATTTGGCAACAAATCATGATACATTATTGTTTCGAATGATAACATCATATCGATAACAAGATAATTGTTTATTAAACGGTTTGGTTCCCTCTTTCTTAGTTTCCATATAAAAGAATTTTACAATACAGAGTTTTATACTTTTAATTGTTTTATATATTGAAATACATTAAGGAATCCACCATACTGCACTTTCTTCATATTGTACTTTCGTGCAATGTTAGATTCATTCTAACATTGCATAATTCATGTGACCAATATAATCTGTTTAAAATTGTAGATATATATATATATATATAATCTGCAAAAAGTTTCTAGCGCAAACTTTATGCAATATGGGAGCTTCGAGTATAATATTAATTTCCTTTATGTACAGATATAAAATCTATATTAATAAAGTCTTTTTCACTATATCTAATCTTTATTTGCAAATAATTACCTAAAAAAAAAAAAAATCTTTTCGTTTCCTTCAGGAAACATTCTTTTTATTTGTGATGTATTTCCTTAAACATTTAAAAAATCATTGAATATATTAGAATTAACTTACATTCCGATTTGGACAAAATTTTCGGAACAAAAATATGTCGTGGCAAAGGTCTTGAAATTAATGTGCATGAGTTTTGCCAAGATCTTTCTAATATACAATAGTTAACAATGTACACATATCATACATTCAAGTTCATTGTTATCTCTACCCAATATATCTTTTTTACAAATCATATAAAATCTATATTAATAAAGTCTTTTTCACTATATCTAATCTTTATTTGCAAATAATTACCTAAAAAAAAAAAAAAATCTTTTCGTTTCCTTCAGGAAACATTCTTTTTATTTGTGATGTATTTCCTTAAACATTTAAAAAATCATTGAATATATTAGAATTAACTTACATTCCGATTTGGACAAAATTTTCGGAACAAAAATATGTCGTGGCAAAGGTCTTGAAATTAATGTGCATGAGTTTTGCCAAGATCTTTCTAATATACAATAGTTAACAATGTACACATATCATACATTCAAGTTCATTGTTATCTCTACCCAATATATCTTTTTTACAAATCAAGTATATAAGAAATTGTTTTGTCACATTCCTCATGATATCTTGTGAGAAATAATAACTTTGGTTTATAAGAATTATAGAATAAATATGTATTTTTAGGTACATATAATAAAATTAAATAAGCATACATTAAAATCCAATTAATGACAATTGACAATCAATTTAATGTCAACATTTTGGGACAATATTCTGCAAATGTTTGAATTGTTAGAATATTTGCATACATACACATTTCTCCTTTATCCCGAAAACTTTTACTCTTGCAACAAACATTTATGTAATAAATTTATGCTAGGATTTATACTAATTTTTGAAAAAAAGAGGAAAGAAGACAGTCTTGTAAGCTTTTTATAATCTATATATCTTATGTACAAAGGATTCCGGATAAAAGAGAAATCGGTAAATTATGACGCTCAAGACATACATGCTGTTCTTAAAAGAAAACTGACTTAGTAAAAACGCTTTCTATTATTTTCCTGGTGTTTCTGGTACAACATAATGGCAATGACAACACAGGCTATTAATATGAGTGCACTAATTAACATGATTAGAAAAAGTTTTATACCACTCATGCCAGATTGTTTTGCATCTTCCACGCGTTCTGAAATAGAGAAGAGTGATATTGAAATAAAAGTTTATATATATATATATATATATATATATATATATATATATATATATATATATATATGCACACAAAAGAGTATCCTTTGATTGTCTCTCGTACCTCTTGGTGCATCGTAGAACGCTGCTGATGGCACAATTTGAGACCTGTCTTCTTGATCTTTAGGCTGCAATTTCATTTATATTTTCAAGTAATGTTAATTTGTGAATTATATTATAATTATATTGTTTATATTTTAATCGGTTTATAAAATTGGTTACTTTACATATATAACATCATACATTTAATATAGAATAGAAACTATAGAGCAAAACTTAGTAAAAGTTTAGTAATTTTTTCTTAGCGCTTACATCATCTGGTAGATCTAATTCAAACAAACGAATTGACAGTATATCATGATTGTCAGACAAATCACCAGTGGTTGCGGAGATTCCGATATAATATCCTGTTGGAAGTTTAACATCAACCACTAGAAAGCATTGTTTCCATCCTAGTTTATTGGCAATATCTGTTGAAACTTCATCGTGAAAAAAAAGAAGAAAAAAAGATTAGCATAAAGCGTATGTGTGATTCTAGTCAACGTACATATATACATTCATGGATCAAAGAAAAAGCTAGTCATAAAGATGACACAATGTAAGCAGAAAACAATCCATGTAATAGAGCAAAGTACAAATGATGAATAAGCAGTATAAGAAAAGATGCTACATTTTTTACTAATACTGATAATTTTTAATATAATGATATTCTAATAATTATGCGTGCCACATAATATAATAGATGCAATCAGATATATTTTAATATTCAGTTGTATTTGTTTTTACGTACCAGTTAAGGTATCTTTCTCGTATCTTATAGCTATATGTGTACCATGTTCTACATTTCTAAACTTTGCTTCGCATCCTGCGAGTTGTGTATGAGTGCCATCGCGATCATGATCGTAATGTAGAGATCCATTATTGACCATTGCTGAGATATAGGGATGTTGATGCTATTTTATAAAATATATCACATATGTATTAAAAAGAAAAGATACAAAGAAACACGAATAAATATTTTAATGCATGAATATTACAACAGACAATATTCAAAACTTCGAATACAAATAAAAAGGATTCAAATAATTGAAAATATTCAAACTTTGGTCAGAATTTTAAAAATACTTATTGTTAATAACACAACTCTATAAACTCTCCATATTGCTACAAAATTATATGTATCCAACATACGCTATGTGCACCGTTATGATTGCTGTATGTGTCAAGTATTACTGCTAATCCTTGAAAATAGTCTTGATTTCCAAATACTGGACCTGGCTTCATTCTTTCCTTGGTATACCAAATTGCAAAACCATCTCCAAATAAATCCTTTCCCTTTCCATGCACTTTAAACTCAACTTGCAATTCCCAGTTTCGTACGTGACATGGCTATAAACATGATAAGTTTAAAAATCTTACTCAATAGATGGATACACATACATTTGTATATATAACAAACACAAATATATTATTAAAGAAAAATGCTATAGGGAAAGTGCTTACTATAGAATTCCATAAGGCACCTTGTTTACTTTGTAAATCAGGTGTTATCCTGATATAATTATTAGTTACCATTGTACTTCCCATAAAGTCCCAATAAGGTATTGTCATACCTGTGCCTATTATACATTAAATATAATCTTATGAATGCAAATATTTATGTTGTATAACAATTTGAATGAGAAAGACAGATTTTATAAATGTACACTGATAATAGTCACTATATCTCATAATAATATATAATATTTATAATTTGTTCTTTTTATATGACTTACCTTGACTATAAGATACATTAGAAAGTTAGGATTTGTTATTAAAAGTTATCTTTACTATTGAACATTTTATAAAATTTTATAATTCATGTTACTAATCTTCTCGAATAAAATGGAAAATATAGAATATTTCTAATATACTGTAGTTTGAAAATTTCTAATAATCTATAATTAAACATATCTGGCACCTTATATTTAATCGCCATATATATCATATCTTTCATTTATATTTACTTACGTTGATCTAATATTACGATAGATCATGAATATTTTTACGTTATATAATTGTAAAACGCGTAGACGATTTTCTATATAACATCGTAAAAAAATCATATGAAAAATAACTTAATTCATTGCTTCGTAACCTCAAATCTATAGTGCAGTGAATCGTAATGTAGGATATTGCAATTGAATAATAAATAAACAAATCATTACGTGTCGATGTCGATAAAAAAATATCTCTTACGTGCGAAATTTACTAAGATAATGGAAATCGGCGAACCTTGATACGGCTTGATCAGACAATGTTCTCGTTTCATGTAATCCTTTGTGTTCCATTCTGCGGCGAACGACTCCAAAATTCCGACGATCAGAAGCAGCCACAAAATTACACTCATGTTTTCCTTCATCCGTGACAAAAAAACGTTTCGCACTGTGTTTTTCTATTACTTTAATATAAATTATAAATACATACGCGAAGAAACGATTGCAACGCGTTATCCGAAATCCGAAACAGCCACCCCGCTTCAGACACTTCAGCCAACTGCAAAAAAGGCCATCATTCAACTCACTCAACCACAAACTTCATATATACTAGACTATTACAAGCGATAAGCGATGTACAGGTGAAGCCAGAATAGCCATTTACAATTAGCAGAATATAACCAGGCCGTCAATCGATATATATAGGCCGGTATTCATAGTCAGTTCTTATTTCAAGACCGTCTTAAGTAATGGGCGCGTTCAGCAGAGAAAACCGCTCAGTAGCAATCGAACGTGATTGGCTCTTACTTTTAGAACCAACAAATCAACGTCGAATGTTGACAAGACAATAACTGTGCGCTTTCTCTGCTGAACGCGCCCAATGTCTTAAGATGCTAATACGGCTCTGTGATTGGTTTAGGGCTACCGCACAAGCTTTTCCATAACACGTTACGTTACGTTAAGTTCTGACTGTAAACCTAAATTCATACGTAATCTTAAGGGCATTCTACAATGGCAGTAACAAGGCTGTAGGAGTAGGAGAGTATACTTTTAAGAGCAAATGGGAATTGCCCATTTCGTTACTCTCGGTCTTTACATCACTAAAAACAGTATACTCTCTTACTCCTACAGCCTTTTTACTGCCATTGTAGACGGCCCTTTAAACTTCAGTCAACGCACAAACAAAATCGTAACGTAGTATGCTTTTGTTACGTTACGATTTTCTCTGTGCGTTGACTGAAGTTTAAAGAGCCGTCTACAATGGCAGTAACAAGGCTGTAGGAATAGGAGAGTATACTGTTTTTAGTGACGTAAAGACCAGTAGTAACGAAATGGGCAATTCCCCCCCATTTGCTCTTAAAACTAACTCTTAAAATCTTACTCCTCACTCTGTACTGTCTACTGCCATTGTAGAATGCCCTTTAGATTACGTACGAGTTTAGGTTTAGAATCAGTACCTAATGTAACGTAATGCATTACGGAAAAGCTTGTGCGGTGGCTCTTTGTGCTTAAGACGGTCTTAAGTATAAGAACTGACTATGGCCGGTATTCATAGTCAGTTCTTATTTCAAGACCATCTTAAAGGGCATTCTTAATTATCGACTGTGATTGGTCAATTTTCTTACGATTAACGACATACGACTTATTGTAGAACCGGCCTAAATACCGGCCTTAGTCGTAATCATAGACATAGTATATCTAGACCGAGCGTTTGCCTTTATTTAAGGACGTGCACCTCGGCTCCCACTCCTCAACACTCGGTCTAGATATACTATGTCTATGGTCGTAATCGTAAGGCCGTAAGCAAATCGACCAATCACAATCAAGCATTCTAATACGTAATATGAATGTTTGAACTGTGATTGGTTGATTTGCTTACGGCCTTAGGGCCGTGGCACATAAAAAAACTTAAGCAGTAAGACTTAAGACGTAAGCAAATTGACCAATCACGGTCGAACAGTAAGGCAGCCATATTGAAACGTAAAGGGCCGTCTACAATGGCAGTAACAAGGCTGTAGGAGGAGGAGAGTATACTTTTAAGAGCAAATGGGAATTGCCCATTTCGTTACTCTCGGTCTTTACATCACTAAAAACAGTATACTCTCCTACTCCTACAGCCTTGTTACTGCCATTGTAGACGGTTAAGTTCTTTTATGTGCCCGGGCCCTAAGTCTTACTGCTTAAGTTTTTCTATGTGCCACGGCCCTTACGGTTACGATTAAAATTTTTTCACGTGCGATGGCCTTCAAAGACCGTCAACCCTGGGTAAATTTTTGTCACTATCAAGTGGGTCCGGTAAGCCCGGATGAGATAATTGAAGTATGTTAACATTACCGGCCGTTTGACTGCATCGAAGATAATTACACAAATTACTTAATTCATACGGTTATTTTAGTTTATCCAGTTATTGTTTTATTATCGAGAACACCGACGGGATATCATTGAAGACTGATGGTCTTATGGGATTTAGCATGTTACTGGGGAAAAACTCGCCACGCGTTACTGTAGGTAAGTAAATCTTTGCATTGTTGATAATAAAACAGTAATTTTATAATAAAATGTTTATTTTGTTGTTCTTGAGGCAGTTATACATAAAAGATCTATACATTTTCGATAATAAAACAATAATTGGATGAACTAAAATAACGCGCAGAGAATTTTTTTTTCAGTCACACTAAATCCCATAAGACCACCGCTCTTTAATGATATCTCGTTGGTGGCACAGCTATGTTGAAAGTTTGACTAAAAATGGCGAAGTTGATCACAACTGAAAAGCGGTATTGGCATAACTCTACTTTTAGAAACTCTAGGTCAGTGCTCGGAGATAGTTGCCCTTTTCGGGCCGATTTCGTGGCTCACGCCTATTGCCCCCCACTCACCGCTCGTGTGTTAGCGACGAGTCGCCAGATACGCGTAACTAAGGAGCGCGACGCTTTGTCTCAGGAGCGTCCGTATATAAGAATGTCCAAATATAATAGTAAGACAATACTTTTCTAAATGCACGGCGAAAATTCTCAAAATTAAAAGTTTTTCTTCAATATTTTATTTAAAAACGTTAATATTGAAGAAATGCTATCTCTTTGAAATCCAGAGCATGCAGTGGCACGCAGTTCACACTAGAACACAGGGTCTCTAGTTCACATGTACGTTGCTTGCGCATGTGTGCGGCTTTCGTAAAATATCTTAAATGGCACGCTTGCTAGAGACTTTAGAGATCTCTATGAAGGAGATATCATAAAGAGCTCTTGTGAAAGATATCTTACAAAAAGATAACTTACTGATATCATTTCTAAGAAAATTTAATTAAGTCTTTAAAAAGTCCTCTTAAAGAGCTCATCCTCTCAATAATGCTCACTGGGTTATTACTGTAATTGGTCTTAGTTTTGCCGTCAAACAAACGTCAGAAAATGACGTCTGGTGGATGTGGCATATCGACGAGACATTTTCGGGTCTCATGAGATCTAACTTAGGATGTCTAATTGGTCATCTTGTGACCAAAATTTACTGTCATTGTGACATTAGTTTGCTACTTGGGTGGACTATTACATGACTGTAACAATCATATAACATTTTAGTAATATGTTATATTCATGTTATATAACTGCAATTTTGTATGGGTGGGAAATTACAACTAACGTGAATGTTACATGTAACAAATACGTTATATTACTTGTTACATTCCGTTTTATTATGGCAATGTTACAGTTATGTATCTGTGTTTGCTGGGCTGTAATTGGTCTTAGTTTTGCCGTCAAACAAACGTCAGAAAATGACGTCTGGTGGATGTGGCATATCGACGAGACATTTTCGGGTCTCATGAGACCTAAAACTTAGGATATTTAGTTGGTCATTTTGTGACCAAAATTTACTGTCATTGTGACGTCAGTTTGCTACTTGGGTGGACTATTACATGACTGTAACAATCATATAACATTTTAGTAACATGTTATATTCATGTTATATAACTGCAATTTTGTATGAGTGGGAAATTACAACTAACGTGAATGTTACATGTAACAAATACGTTATATTACTTGTTACATTCCGTTTTATTATAGCAATGTTACAGTTATGTATCTGTGCTTGCTGGGTCCCAATAATATAAAGTAACAGTGACATAACATCAATATTATAATTTTCCACTCAGCAATATAACTGTTACATAAATACAAGACATATTACATTGCAGTTACATTGTTGAGTGGGAAATTATAGTGTGATGTTACTGTCATTTTGTGTTTGCTGGGATACTATCGAAATATACAGGGTGTGGAAAAAATACTGGGATCCTAAAATATCTCGTAAACAAGACATTTGAGAAGAAAATGTTACATAAAGAAGTTGTACGGTTTCAACAAATACATCAAACGGTGATATCCATTTGACCTTGATCGCAGTTATGAAAGAGATCTCAAGGTCAACTTTGAAATCTTAAATGGAAGTCCTTATTTTTTATTTGATATTCTTGTAGCTTATCTCGAGAGCTTTTCAAAATACTATAATAAAGTATTTTTTCATTAAGTACTTTTTTAGTTATTTTGTATCTTATTTTGACATATTTTGATATTAAATATAAAATATTTCGTAAAATATTTAGTTTTTAATAACCTTACCGTAATATTTTGATGTATGGAATAATGAGATAAATCAATTGGTATAAAGAAAATAATTGTTTTTAGAAAAAGTATGTAATTATTTATAATATATTTTTTTAATAACAAATATTTTTTTTTACATCAATTGATTCATCTCATTATTCTGTACATAAAAGTACTACGGTAAGATGATCAAAAACTAAATATTTTACGAGATATTTTATATTTAATATCAAGATATGTCAGAGAATATGATACAAAATAACTCGAAAAGTACTTAATGAAAAAATACTTTATTACAGTGTTTTGAAAAGCTCTCGAAATAAGCTACAACAATATCAAATAAAAAATAAGGATTTCCGTTTAAGATTTCAAAGTTGACCTTGAAATCTCCTTCATAATTGCGATCAAGGTCAAATGGGTATCACCGTTTGATGCATTTGTCGAAACCGTACAACTTTTTTTATGTAACATTTTTTTCTCAAAAGTCTTGTTTTCGAGATATTTTAAGATCCCTGTATTTTTTCCGCACCCTGTGTGTGGCGACAAAGGCCTGGTCAGCCATGATAGCTGCATTCTTTCTTCTCGGTGTGGTCTTTTTTTGCTTTGTCTTACCGAAGACGTCTGATATGCAATAACTGTAGTATGTTTATATAAGCCAAAGACTGGTTGTAAATACATCTATAGCATTTATATAGACTGATTGTGTTATATATCTAATATATAACCGTTAGCCATTTCTAGGCATTTCCTTAATACGAAAATATTGCATTTTCCTTTAAAGGATCCCTCACAGTATTTGACCATTCCCTTTCGTCTTCCACGAAATTATTAATGATAAATATTTACACATACTTATAATGATATAAATTACATGCATAACTGCATTAATTGCACTAGTCAATCAATACCACAGATTTTCATGTTATACCTACAAAAATCTGTGACTAATATGCACTTGCGCGCAATAAATGCGCCTTTATTA